CCAACCTAATTCAAGGTTAAAGAGAGGGATTCATGGCTGAATCTTACCAGAAAACCGAACTCAACCTCCACACAGCAGAGGCCGGCGGACAGAGGGGAAGAAGACAGCGCAGATCTGGAAATTCCTACTTCAAAGGGAGGGTTCTAGGTCCTAAAATCAGTTCTTTAACAAGAAAACGAAGGGAACAATCAAGCTTGCTACCAAATTTCTCAAGGAATAGAAGTCGGTGGCTTGGGGGAAGCTTGTCGGGCTGCACAAAGAAGAACAGCAGAGCAGAAACGTGTATGGCTGGGAAGAAATTTCTGGGTTTAAATCTTGTTCTCCATAAAGAAGGAAAGGGAACACTCAAGCTCTTTATCGGTTCTCAAGGGGGAAGCTTCCACGGCTTTGGGGGGGAAGCTTTCGGGAGGTAGAGGAGAAGGAAGACAGAGCAGACACGCATGTGATGAGGAAGAAAAGAAAAAAAATCTAAGCTTGATCCTTATCCAGAATTTTTCCTCTTTTAAGTCCCTGAACTTTAAAAACATTTATTATTAAGTTCATTAACAATACTTCCTCACAATTAGGTCCCTATGCACACTTTTAATGTTCTAGAAAATTTTGGGATATTACACGAAAAAAGGGCAAGGTATTGCCAAAGCCCAAAAAATGCCAGAAGATCCTTCCCAAAAGCTAAGCATTGGGATCTGGGATGGGAAGATATTACCCAAACAAGTTCGAAAGAATATTTCCATAATCTTAAGTCTAATATGTGTGATGCATATACAGGGTGGGGTTCAATTTCTCGTGAGCACAAGGAAGTCTACTGGCAAGCTTTTCAGGTTGGTAATTTATAATGACATAGTTTTTATTTATATATGTGCATTTTCTTTATAAACCAATTTATATATGAATATATTAAACTTATATATATATGTATTTTATTTCATAATATGTACGAGTGGGACCTAGTTGAGCGAGGTGCTGTACATACAGCATTTATAAATGTTTGTGAGAATAGATATAACAGAATGATGAGTGATATCCTGGATTCATGTAGAAAGAAAAATTTTACAGAAAAAAAGCCATACATGTCTGACGAGATTTGGGAGAAGTTTAAGTATATATGGATTGAGGACCCGAAGTTCAATGCTCGCAGAGAGCAAGCAAAGTTAAATAGAGCAAAAGGGCCCAAGGTAACCCACACAGGTGGATCTATGGACTACAATCACTCTGTGCAAACACTGGTAAATTGTTACCTTTATCATTTAGGTTTCATATCATAATTTATATAATAATTAATCTTAATGTTAATTGTAATGTTTGTGTCAATTAACACAGTAATTGAATATGTGATATTGTAGAAAGAAAAAGATTCTGAGCATAGGGATCCATCATTCGTTGATGTGATTCGTGCAAAAAAAATGCATCATCCAAAAGGAAAAGATCAAATACCAACATATATTGATGAGCAGGCCCGGGAGTACACTGTGAGTTTTATTTCTTTGTTTGTATTATTTCTTGAGGGGTTATTTTAATTGATATTTAATTTCATTGTCACTCATATTAAAGAATTATTTATATTAAGTGAAATCAGATTGCATTTTAATTTTATTGCATATTATTGTTGGAAATATATATATGAGATTGAACGTAGTTTCATACTTTGTTTATAGGGGGAAACTATAGTTTTTAGGGAAAATTCTGCCGGATTTTTTATAAATTTATAATGAATTGTGAAAATTGACATGTTCCATTTACAATGATATTTATAATTATATTGAATCTTTAATCGATATTAAATAGGGAAATTAAACAAAATTGTATAGATATATTAAATAAAAAAGAAAAGTTAAAGGTGTCGAGCTAGTGGGTACTTCATGTTCAAAAAGTAATTCAAATTGTTTGTTTAGGTGGGGCTAATCTTGAATTGAATTTGAAAACACATGTAAATGAAAAAAAAAAAAAAAATAGACCTCTTTGAGTAGCTAGGTTCGATCTCTTGATTGTAGTGATTTTCTCAGAATATTGTCTTTGCAAGTTACTTTTTTTTTATGAATTGTTTTATGGCCAGACATTTATGGTTTTGTCGTATGAGCTTTGAAAGTCCATTTTAGTGAAATGTATAAATTCCAAAAAAATCTCATTTATTCATGTAATTTTATTAAATACCATAGTTAAAAATATATATAGTTGAATATATTTTCATATTTGTTTACAGAAGGAGACTATAGTTTTTAGGGGAAATTCTGCCAAATTTTTTATAAATTTATAATGAATTGTGAAAATTGACATGTTCCATTTATGATGATATTTATAATTATATTGAATCTTTAATCAATATTAAATAGGGAAATTAAACAAAATTGTATAGATATATTAAATAAAAAAGAAAAGTTAAAGGTGTCGAGTTAGTGGGTACTTCATGTTCATAAAGTAATTCAAATTAATCGTTTAGGTGGGGCTAATCTTGAATTGAATTTGAAAACACATGTAAATGAAAAAAAAAAAAAAATAGACCTCTTTGAGTAGCTAGGTCCGATCTCTTGATTGTAGTGATTTTCTTAGAATATTATCGATGCAAGTTAATTTTTTTTTTTTATGAATTGTTTTATGGCCAGACATTTATGGTTTTGTCATATGAGCTTTGAAAGTCCATTTTAGCGAGATGTATAAATTCCAAAAGAATCTCATTTATTCATGTAATTTTATTAAATATCATAGTTAAAAATATATATAGTTGAATATATTTTCATATTTGTTTACAGGGGGAGACTACAGTTTTTAAGGGAAATTCTGCCGAATTTTCTATAAATTTATAATGAATTGTGAAAATTGACATGTTCCATTTATGATGATACTTATAATTATATTGAATCTTTAATTAATATTAAATAGAGAAATTAAACAAAATTGTATAGATATATTAAATAAAAAAGAAAAGTTAAAGGTGTCGAGCTAGTAGGTATTTCATGTTCAGAAAGTAATTCAAATTGTTTGTTTTGGTGGGGCTAATCTTGAATTGTTTGTTTTGGTGAGGCTAATCTTATTAAATATCATAGTTAAAAATATATATAGTTGAATGTATTTTCATATTTGTTTACGGGGAAACTACAGTTTTTAGGAGAAATTCTGTCGGATTTTTTTATAAATTTAACTATCATGATTTGCATTAATTTAAGTTATTTAATATAATGTTTATAATTATATTAAGTATCATAGTTGCAAGTATATGGTTGAGTAGTTTCAATTGTTTATACTTTATTAAATGATCTAATAAGTATGTTAAATAATTTATTGCAAGAACGATTAATTGCAGAGGCTGTGCAAAAATATGGGGAAGACAGAACTGCATGGCCAACAACAGTTGATGCTCAACTGTTGTCCCAAGTTTCAGGTGGACCCTCAAAAGATGGGCGACTTTATGGAATGCCTTATTATATGGACCCTGAGGAGCAAGGCGTTTCACATCGGAAACGTCCTCCCCATACTATACCAGATACTTCTGTTCAGTCTTCTCAACGTGTAGTGCAGTTGACACAAAGTATGACAGAATTATAAGAGAGTCACATGACACTGCAAGAGAAGGTTGATAGAATGGAGAGAATGTTTTTCATGATGCAGGGAGGAGAAGGGGCTGGGCCTAGTGGAGAAGTTTAATTAACCGTTTTTTTTTTTATATATATAATTAAGTTAATCTTTGTGTTAAAAGCATCTTTTATTATTATATATGTATAGATATGTATGATAATTAATCTTTAACATGTATGCGATATGACATATAATTCTTTAATGACTATATATATTAGGACATGATATTGTTCCCTGAAATATTACGTGAAATTTTATATTTAAGAGCCTAAACTCTACAACATTTTAATCAGATGTTATAATATAAATGTTGAAGTAGCTAATAAATAAAGACTTTTTATTGTACTATTTACTAATTTTAGGTTTAAAAAAAAAAGAGAAAAGAAACAGAGAAAGAAAAAAAATGATTAAGTAAGAAATATAGTAGGTGTGCCGGTCAAAATGGTTGCAATGAAATGAAATAATTCAATATTAATAAAATATTTATCTATTATTTCCATCAAAATGGATGACCAAAATATTAAAGTTGGCTTTAAGTTTTTGTATTTGTAGCTGGCTGCTAAAGAAAAACAGAATGTGTAGGAAGCTGACAAAATTGTCTTTGCGTTCTGCAGCCGGCTTTACGGAAAAAACAGAATGTGGAGAATCTCGGAAAGCCGGCTATAGAAATTCTAAACCTGCTATGGAGCCGGCTCTAACAATCAAAGCCGACTGTTTTGAGAATAGGGAAATCAAAAACCCAGGGGTTATTTTGGTCAATCACTATGACCGAAATACCTAGAGTCGGTTGAAAAAGCAAAGTCGGCTCTACACAAAAAACAAAATGTGCAGAATCTCGCAAAACCTGCTGTAGAAATTCTAAGCCGGCTTTGGAGCCAGCTCCAGCAATTAAAGCCGGCTTTGGAGCCAACTCCAACAATTAAAGTCGGCTGTTTTCAGAATAGGGGAACTCAAAAACCCAGGGGGTTCTTTCATTCAGTCATTATGACCGAAATATATAGAGCCGGCTTTGCCATTTCAGCCGGCTCTACACAAAAAAACAGAATGTTAGAATCTCGCAAACCCAGGGTTATTTCGGTTAGTAAAAATGACCGAAATAAGTTTGGTCATTTTTCCTGACCGAAATAACCACATTTTTCTGAGGCCTTGCAGGGGAGAAATAATGAGGTTATTTCGGTCAATAATTTTGACCGAAAAAATCATCAGACATACATCTGGCCTGCGGTGACATGAAGCAGAGATGAAGCAAGGGGCACGTACTTTTAGAATTTTATTTGGACAACTAATTTAACTGAAAAAAATGTGGGTTTACTGTTTTGGTCAAAAGTTTTGATTGGTATTGAAATTTTCATTGCATTTGCGTGAAGAATCTGATTTCTAGATTTGAAATCAGATTCTTGAATATTTTATTGCATCAATAGTTAGTGTTTTTGGTCTTTATAAGCAGATATGTTTTCTTTTCTCATAAAATTTCTATTTCTTCCTACTCATCTGGTGTTCTCTACTTTTTCCTACTCATATTGTCTTCTGTAAATTTTTTAGAGTTTTGGCTGGAATCAGTGGTTAATTAAGAGTTGCTCCATTTGTTGAGACCAATATTTAATAGATTTTGAGATTTTTGATATATAGAAGGCACGAGTGGCTACAATTGTCCTCTTTTTTCTTGTTCATTTCTTTTATTAGATCTATTTGTAATTAAATTTTGAAAGTAATTTAATTTTAAACACAATGTTCAAGTGATTATTATCAATTATGTTTCACCACCTTGTGTTTAAATATATTATTCTATTCTGTTATTTTGGGTTAAGGTTAGTTAAATTTCATGATTTAATTTTTAAAAAATATAATTTATATTTAATCATAATATTTTAATGTATTTAAATGTGTTATTTGTTATTCTATCATAATTTTCATTTCCACTAATATTGTTATGCCCTAGAACCCAAATCCGAGGCGTGGCAGACGCCGTGCACTCGTGAGAGGGTCCCACAAATGCACAAGATTTAGAACTTATCATATCATAATCTGATACCACAAAATCTGAAAATAAAATCTTAAAATCTGCTATGATATCATAAAATCTCCAAATACACTCTAGTTTACAATATTATTATTTATATCTAAAATCTATGTCAATCTCGAAATGGTTAGCCTTCTAACTCATCACTTCCCATGGTTTCCCCGTCCTCAGTTTCGCTTCCTGAAATGGTGGACAAGAAAATCTATGAGATAAACTCAGTAAGTAAAATATGGATAGCCTTTACTTAAACTTATAGCATGCCAACAAGTATAATCACGAAAAACAGATATGGGTACGGAAACAAAATAGACGTATCCTCTATAGGTCACGGCCAGTATTATAAACCTCCCACTGGCAGGCACACAATTTACTAGTGTATAATCCCACTAGCAGGATAACAGAAACGAACCAGTTCTATCAGTAGCATGTCGACATGTGCTAGCGTTTATAAATCTCCCACTAGCGGGCACACAAATAATATTGTCACGCCTCAGAACCCAAATCCGGAGACGCGACAGACGCCGTGCATTTGTGATCGGGTCCCACGAATGCACAAGGCTCGGAACTTATCCAAATCACATCTGACAATCCAAACTCAAATCATATATTTCAAAATTAATTCCCTATGTCCAAACACGACTTAACCTCAAAATCTCCAGATCAAATCTCTTATAAACTAACTATCCACTAATTGAATTTACAATCTCCAATTAAAATCTCGCTTACAAGATCATCATTTATATCTAAAATCCATATTCAATTTACACGATGGCTAGCCTTCTAACTCGTCACTCCCCTCGGTTTCCCTCGTCCTCAGTATCGCTTCCTGAAATGGTGGACAAGGAAAACTATGAGATAACTCAGTAAGTAATTATGGATAGCCCTTGGGTAAAACTTTTAAGCATGCCAGATAAACAGTTTAATATAACCAAAATGCTCAGTGACAAAATCATATTCAGTTTAATTGCAAAGCATTAATGACAAACCGTTAATGCAGAAGAAAACTCAGTTCAGTAGTCTCATCTATAAGTCATGGCCAGTGTTTAACACACTCCCACTGGCTGGCGTCAGTAATGGTGCCAGTGTTTA